TAAAACCAAACAGAAATTGCATCTTGATTCTAAAGGAGATTAATTTTTGGTGTCTAGAATACTAAATTGTTAGGGGATGAGAATATTAGGATTTTGACAATTATCTGTAGACATGCAGGTTCTTACATTGATGGTCCATTAAAAAAACCCAAACCCATACATAATGCCATGTTGTCAGCTACTAATACTGTTGCAAGCTCTCAGCGAGTACAATAGTCTTCTTCCTAGACATAACCGTTGTGAAAAGACTGCCAGCTTTCAGACACTGAATATCTGGAAGACTATAATTAGATGTAGAAAATTCTTTGGAAAGTAAATTAGTAATAGTGAATTGATGACATTAAAGAGGAGAATCCTTTAAAAGAGAGAAGGAAGTATTAAGCATTGTGAAATTTACTTGTTTTAAAATTCAAGTTACTTTGGATTTATAGTTACAATAAAAAAGGCAAAATAAAAAGTGGAGCTCAGAGCTGAACATGTTGGCTGTGGTTTTACAAAACATTCAGAACTTCTCAGTGTTCTTGGGTATTATATGGGCAGCAATAATTGGATTCAGTGCAACTGTAGCAGTATTTTTAAAAAATCATTTAGCTTTATGCAGTACATAAGAATTTGAGTATGACTATACCAGCTGTTTGATGCAATGTTCGTAGCATTTAGGCAAGCATATGATTTTGCTATTCATATTTAATACAGATATAATAACTACTTCTTTGTTTTGCATAAAAATTGTGGGAGTGCTGTTGTCTTACGGGAACATCCACAGGCCTGAGCAAGAGTATTACTTCATATTTTTACTAATTTTTGAGTGAATGTAAATGGCGGTGTTTCTGTCTTGTTCTCTTTCCTTCTGGGTTAGTGAATTAATGATAACAGAGCAACTAATACTAAAGGAGCACTAACGAGTGTCGATGTCTGAATGCATACATGCTGTTAGGTGTTTACTTCTCAAACTCGGTCCAGTAGTTTTCCATTGTATTTGCTGACCTACTTGTTAAATCCACTATATGCACAGTTTGTCGTTAACATGCAACAGTCAAACCACAGGATCCAAATTAAGGAAAACTTTTTTTTTCATTATTTTATATTCTGTCAAACAAACAATGGTTAGACCTCTGTCTGATGGGTTAATTTGTTGTTTTCTTTAAAGCCCTGTATAAACATCTCTGGGACAGACACTTGCTCCTGTAAGGGCTACTGTTCACATCTGTGCTACTTGTCCTATTTAAAGATGGCCTGTTCAAATCAACATTCACATCTTAGTTTAGGGTTTAAATGTCTACTAGATTTGCATTTACATCAAATGGGGTAGAATGTTTCTGTGGTAATATTGAAGTGGTAATATCCAATGTCTAAGCTTGCTGAGAGAATTTGCTGCAGGGTTTGTATATCTTGATAGATTTCTTTGTAAAATATGTTTCAGTGTTCTGAGACTATGTATACTACTCACAGTTACTGCTTAAAAAAAGAAAATGGGAAAGATGCTGTATTTGGTCAGGTAGAATTAAGTAAAATAGTAACAATTTTAAATTATTTCACCATGGGTTTCATTTTGTGTTGTGTTTTGTGGCAGGGGTTTTTTTTTAATTGTTTGCTTTTGTCCTGATGTTGATGCAGAGCTCATCTTTCATAGTGGAAAGTCCAAAGGAATTCTTACTGTACAGCAACAACTGATAACGAAACGAAAATGAACTTTAAAGTAGATTGAGTTAGGTACCTTTGCTCATGAAGCTAGCTTGCTACCTTACTATTTTGTAAATAGTGCAATTCCTCAGTTTCAGCATTGGTCATCCAAAACACATATGCTGTATTTCTGGACTTACCAGTTTCTCAAAAAGCTGTGGCTCTGCCACTGATATTTATAGCAAGCAGATTTTAAGCATTATGAAGATCAATATCTTCGCTTATTTGAGACAGTGTGCATGTTTCATTAGTTGTGCTTAGCTAGATTTCTTTATAATGCAGAAGCGTGAAAAAAAATGGGGTTTTCATGAAGCTGACATGGAGAGTTGTTTTTTTCCAGCAGAAACAAATGTAAATATTTAGGGAAGACTGTGCAATAGGATCTAAATCCCTACTGTTTCTGTACAGGCTGTAAGTTAAGTATCTAAAACTGAGCAGAGAGAAGTGTTGTACTGACTAGGCCTTTATTTTTGTAAAAATGTGTGTTTAATGGCTTGCTCTACTTTGGGCAAGCCATTAAGATTAGGCTGATACATTCCTGTTTATAGAACGTACTCCTGTGCTATTATACATCTTCAGTCACGTCAGATGTACTATGTGACTTCAGATATAAAATGGCCATTTCTCTTTCTCTTGCATGAGTAGAGCAGGATAGCAAGCTGTCCTTCTTGCTTTGTTACCTTGTAGCGGTTCACACATTTGTGGGAAGCTTGTAAACAGGGGAATAAACTTCGTATATTAGGGTTTTCCTCACGTATGAAATAATGCTTTTGAATTGTGGACTATGTGGAAGAAAATTGTGTCAGTGAAATATTTATGGTTTAACCATTAGCTAGGTAGCCTTTGTGACCTATTGAATTAGAAGTGGGTCTGCTTTCTAGTAAGAAAAGAAGCTACTCAAAGTACAGAAAGATAAAAATGATTGCTTGCACTCTGCATGTTAACTCCTTTAGTCCTCATCTGTAAAGCACAATGAGATCAGTCCAGAAATCGGTTTGTATAAATTTTATAGCTGCTGTATATGGAGAACATTCTTCCAGGTTCTAAGGTGTAATAGAAGCTTTTTTGCGAATAAATATCACGAGAACATCACAGTATAAATACCATCATTAAGTTCTGTAAGAGAATCAACATAGAAGGAAAACTATTGTGCATTAATGAGCTTCTAACACATTTTTTTTGCCTGCTGCTAAAATGCTTGAAGCACAGCAGTGCTTCACTATCAGTTTCAAAACCTGCACCAGTGATGCAGGTTGCCCGGATTGTACTGTCACAATGCAATTTTCTCTGTGTATCGAAGGCAGTTAAGATGGGCCCATACCAATCAGCAAAAGGCTATGTAGTTTGTGAAATCTACAGTTATCTATTTAGTTATCTATTTAATGTGAGATAATCTGATTTGCAAATATCTGCAAAGGAAGCCACATGAATTGAAAAAGTTTGTAAATAGTTCTTAGGGTAAAGATTGCTTTACTTGTTATACTTTACAGTATAAATGTTTAACTTTATTTCTAATAATTCAGTTCTGTATGGGTGTGAATTTAAGTAATAACGCTGTTTACAGGATGCAAAGTCACACTATGAATTTACGAATGCTAAGACTGCCTGTGTGACATTAATTCAGCTCCATATGTGTATGTATGATGAAAACAGTAATTACTTTATTTTGCACTATTTTTCCTCTTAATCTGTTTGTAACTCTGCTTTTTCGTAAGGGAAACTGAAGCAACTGATTCCAAATGTGAAGGTAGTAGATATCCACGTGATTCTCGGGTAGCAGACCAGTGCATGATATCTGGGTGGAAATAATGTTTTTAGATTTGTTGTACCAGCTTATCACAGAATCACAGAATGGTTTGAGTTGGAAGGGAACTTATAGATCATCTAGTTCCAACCCCACTGCTGTGGGCCAGGACACCTTCCACTAGACCAGGTTGCTCAGAGCTCCATCCAGCCTGGCCTTGAACACTGCCAGGGAGGGGCATCCACAGCTTCTCTGGGCAACCTGTGCCAGCACCTCACCACTCTGAGTAAAGAATTTCTTTCTTGCATCTAACATAAATCTACCCTCTTTTAGTTTAAAGCCATTACCCCTTGTCCTGTTGCTACATGCCCCACTTTCTCCCATTTGAGGAAGTAAACTAACGAAGAACAATATAAGTTGCCATCACCTGTGGTCCTAGTGGTGAATGACAAGCTTTTCCAAGTGATTTCATGATTACTTTCAGGAAAAAGGATTACTGTTAAACTTTTTGGTTCCCTTCCAGGGGCTGGAGAAGTGTGCTCTCTTTGGTACAGTTTGCTGCTACAACTCTGAAGAAAAATTGACATTGATAAAGTTAGGGAGAGCATCTGTTATGAAAATGAGGGGAAACTTCTTTTACATGTACACACACAAAAAAAAGTGTGGTTTGTTTAATTTAACTGAAGGCTAAGGAAGTACAGTTGTCATCTATCTAATATATATACACATATTTCTCCATCCCCACTTCACAGTGGTAGAGGGTAGCAGAAGGAGGAATACCTGTGTAAACGGAAAGCTGTTATTGGTTCAAGAGCAAGAAAGTACAAGCAGTACTAAAATATATAAGGAAGGGTAACTTTCCATTAGGTTTTTGCGTCACAGGTCTCAACTGCGTTTGTGAAAGGGAGTGAAGACTTAGTGCCTATGGTAGATTTGTCTGGGCTTCATGACTCCAAAGCTCTTCTCCATTCATGGGAGGAAAGCTGTTGATGGGTGCATCTCATCATATACAAAATCTTTTCAGCAAACTGTAGAGATGGATTTTCTGCACAATTTCTGGCAACCTTTTGTGGAAGAGATGTACAACAGATTTCCTGATTATTGTTCTCTTTAAGACAATGGCCCATCCATTTAGTAGAAACTAAGCAAATGGATTGTACCAAATACCTTGTGTAGAATATTTCATACTAGTTAATTTGTCAGTCCTTTTCATTATAGGACCCTGTTTGAGATGCATTTGTTCATCTATAGCATCAGTTACCCTTTGTCTAGCTTGAAACTACTTCTGTATTCTGTATTGACTCCTTTCTGGGCAAATGAAGTGTTTTATTTAAATGTCCTGGTTTTGAAAGAGTGAGATTACAAATGACAGTGTGGCAAGAGTTCTACAGAAACTCCCTTAAAAACACCATTGTGTAATGCATTGTCAAATATGTAGTAATTTTTTGGGCTCACTTTTCAAGGGAAACGTGTTGTTGCTGTTAAGGAAACATAGATGTTCACAGTTACATCACAATATAGCAAACATCCCATTCCTTCTAGGTATGAGATGTAATTTTTTTTTTTCCTGCAGCCCAGCGTGCTAATCGTAAGCTACAAGGAACTATCAAAAGCAGCTTCTCAGTTTGGCTCTTACAAACAAGCAGAATGGCGGCCTGACAGCACCATGATAGCTGTTTCAGTAAGTAGGGTTTTTTCTTCTTACTGTGGTTAAACTATTGCAAAGACAGTTCTGTATTACAAATTTCTGTGCTTGTATAGACTTGCAGATTGTATATGCATTTAATTGATTTCTCTTGTGAAAAGAAATGATAGTACCAAGGTTTTTTTGAGTGATAGAAGCTTCCTTTAGTAGTATTCATTCATTTTTTCCACTGAAGAGTGAACTGCAGTTCTTTGTGTTAAAAATAATGTTTAGATATATCGGCTGGGGCTGATGCAGCATCTCATTACTTTAGTAGTCGTCACAAAGAATAAGAGAATTTAAAGACATGTGAATGAGAGAAATGGTTGAGGAGTTAGGTGGCATAAGCGTATTTACCTTGATAAATAAGGTTTACAGATGTTTCAGAAAGGTGGGTCTTAAGAGGATGAAACTGTGGCTTTATTAAGGTGCATCTTTTGATGTTTAAAAAAATGCAAGGCACTGAGAACACAAAAGAAGGGCAATGATAGGTGTTACAAAGACTCTTCTGTTAAGAGTCTTAAAGGTAGAGGTGAGATCTTGTCTTACATGGAAATAAAATCTTGTTTCATAGTGGTGCTGTGCTCGCAGCAGTGGAGTGGACTATTTCAGCACCAGGATTTAAAAATTAATTTGAGATGCAAGGGAGACACAACAAAGGTGGGAGTAGAGTTTACAGGAGTCAGAATATGGGATGATACTCTTTGTGGCTTTTGATCAGGTCTTACATTAGGACCAGGTCTGAAGTTGGGTAGGTTTCTTTTTCTAGGTTTTAAAATCAAGGCTATTGTATTTAAGATTTTTTTGTGAGAAGGTGCAGAAGAAAAGAATGAAATCATTAAACTTCCCATCAGGAACTGATTATGTGGAATTAAGAACTGAATACTACTGTATTGGTTGGTACAGTGACTTAATCTCCTAATATAAACCATCTTCTGTGCTTAAAATGATGCCTGTAATGCTTTGTAGTTTTTAAATCAATCAGATATTGTTATCTTAGTGGAAAATACCAGATGGTTTATGGAAAAGTTCACGTCGCTACCAATATCATCATGACTCTAAATCAACTAAACTTCCTGTGGTCCCATTTTCTTGTGTGTAATGCAGGGGTAGACTTTGCTGAGCAGTTGGTTTAGCATGTTTTAATGACCTAGAAGGATCTCATAGAATTGATGCAATAAAGTATTTCTGTTAGTCAGATTATATTTTCAGTTAGCAAATGCTGATAGTTACCAGCAAAGGCAAAAAGCAGACTTCTGTAACGTTTACTGCACATAAAAAAGATTTCTTCAGTTTTATAATACAGAATATAATCACAAGTAAACTATCCAAAGACATTTTAATTATACCTTTATGCAGTAGTTCAGAAGAGATTTGGATTGTTATACTGAATTACTTTACGTATTACTTTTTATTCTGTGGTGTTGGGATCCATTTGCTCGAGAGACCTTGTGATTCAGCTGGCAATCAGACTAGCTTTAAGTTCTACCAGTTCAGTTACTGTGCTTTCAAGTATTTCTTCTGCTGAATGTATAGTGTTCTTTTTGGCAAATGGTGTCAGAATCTAAACGTCCACAAAGTCTCAGTTTGTAAACTGAAGTTTTACAAATCAAAATTCAAAATGGTCAAACAGTTTAAAATGAGTGTAATAGGATTTCTAATATTGCTCATGTTTCTTAGACTTGTATTGCATCTCCTGGGTATTGTATACAAATAATCTAGTCAAGTATGTTTGTTATGGTCGTTTTAACACCAGTTCTGTTTTGCAAGTTTTTTTAATACTTTTTGGAATATATATGAAGTTTAATTTGGAACAGTTAGTGAGTCCTACTGAAAGACCATATTTGCAAATATTCATATTTTTGTTATAGAGAGACAGGGTGGAGAGACAGCTTGGGGGGGTTATGAAGCAGATGTTCCTGCTGATGCATGATATTTTTATCCCCAAGTGAACTTGTGAACTTCTTGCCAAGAGAATAAATATTTTCTCCTTTCTTTGTGATTTTTCTTAAGAAGGAAGCTAAGAAGTGCCAATGAAGGAGCAATGGTAAAGAAAGTTATTAATTAAAAAAAGAATAGTTTGTACTATTAGTTTTGTTGAACTGAATTAACTTTGGTAATTACAGAAGTCCTGGGAAATAGCTAAAAATACTAGTTTGAAAGCTGAGTTAGATGATTTAGTTTCTAGCCTGTTATTACCTGTGCTCTTGAGTTTCTTAATTAGGGTAGTTTTATGTAATAATAAAATTATGATGTACTTTGTTTTGAAGAAGGTGAGCAAAAGTCTTTTTACTTCTTAGCCAAGTGGTACATTCACTTTTTTCCTTAATGATGTAATGATGAGGGGGTGGTGGTGGTGGTCTGCATTTAATGTCCACTAAAGCAGTGATATACAGTGTTTTTTGTTTCTGACTGCCAGTGTTCAGAGCCTCTCTATGAAAAAATCACTTTGCAGCATATGCTTTGAGGTAATTATTATTTGTTGGTCTAGCATATGTTGCGTTATAATACCTTAAGTAGCTTGAATAGTATGCAGTTCTCACGTTGTTGTCTTTGTTTATTGCCTCCTTGCTTTAAGTGATCACACATCCCCTAGAAATTCTAACTTCTTTTACTACTAGTATCTTCTATTGCTATATTGTTGGCACATTTTTTTAAACTGATCTTATTTTTTTCCCTGATATTTTGTAGTTTCTACTCTCATGTTGCTGCATTTGTAATTTTTCTAGTGTTACTGGAAAATATTTTGTTTGTCTAGATGAGTGCATACACCCTAGGTAGCTGATTCTAGTAGTTCAACTAACTTGTGAATTGGGTCATGGTGCTTCAGTATAGAGAAATACACAAGGCATTTTAGTCCTTGCCCTGATACAGGCAGTCCTCTGATATAAACTGCCCTTCAGTGTGCTTCCCCATAGATAAGGCAGAGCTTTATTAAACGTCGTAGTATAGGAGAAACCATGAATGAAATCCCTTGCCAAGGTATTATATGCTTATACTTTTGACTGTCAGATGAGAATGGTCAGGAAGCAGGTGACAGTGATGGGTTACATTAGTAAGTTTCATTGCAACACAGACATTTGTAAAGCAATGCAGAAACCTATGTGAAATAATATGATCAATTTGCAGGAAGTGTATGGTTCAATGCTTCTGCATTTCATCCAGCTCCTCATGGGATCTGAGATTCTATTTAGAAATGAACCTGTAACAATAGCAACTTTTTGCTTTGAATAGTATTCAGTAAGGCCCTTTGTACCTTAATATCAGTATAAAGATACTTCACAGTATTGTTTTACTTTTCCTTCCAGGGTAAGATAACTTACACATTAAATATTTAATGATGTAATGGAAAGAGCCTGTAAAGATGTTAGAAATGAGCACTTTTCTTTACCACATAATACCTGAACATGATATTACTGCACATAAAAAAGCTTCCATTTATTTTCAGCCTGTCTCAAGTTCACCATTATGGTTCAGATTTTATTCTTGCATGAGAACAATACTTACTTTGAATGAGAATAATTGTGTTTCTTGGACTTTGAAGCCAAAACAGAAATTCCTTTCAAGATAAAACAAAATATTTGACTGTGGAAAAACATGGCATCTGATAAACTAAGTTAATACGAGTGTTACTTTTTCCTTTATTCAAAGAAAAGGAAACCAACCTTGCAAAGCAACTTGAAACCATTCATATCAGTGCTTCTTGTCTCCAGTTACACTGCTTTGGGTACATGCCCAGCCCATTTTAAAATGATTAGATGGATACGCTGTTTAACTAAAATGCGTTTGCTGATTTGCTTGAAGGAGAAGTTTTAGCTTCAAAGAAATCATACTTCTTTGAACAACTAACCGTACTGGCCGTCTGCCTCTCCTGTGCTTGTACAAACACTGGATCAGCTTCTAGTCATGACTGGAACATCTGATAACTAAATGATTTATATTTGTTCTCTGAATAGCCTTATAGTTTCAAGTCAGTCTTCCAGAATGACAGACTATGACTTCAGATTGAATTATAATAGAATTTTTTTCAGAGACCAGAAGATTTTGAAAAGGTGTTGTGGTATCTAAAGATCCTGTATGACATGAGGATTTTTTTGAAAACTACTTGGATGACCAACATTGAGAGGCCGTGCCTAGTTTCATTGTGCTCTGTAGTGTCCATATGTATTCAAACACTTGGAGGTCTTGCTCTGAATGCTTGCTGCCTTCTGCTACATGTGTTCTGCATTAATTGTCTTTGTTGGTGGGAATTCGGTGCCCAGGTTATATATATGTGATGTTGCTGTCTGATTTAGTGTATTTATATGAATCAAGCGAAAGTTGCTGCTGGATGCATGCAGCAACAGTGGTGTTTTCTCATTTTTCAGCCCACTGTGAGCTATTCAGTGGGCTTTAAGGGCTAGGATGGATTTTATCTAGAATGAATCTAAACGCACAGTTTTTTAATATGACTGAAATGATGTGAGTCTGTACTTGTGTTCAATATATGAGACATGCATAGAAATCACAAGAGTTTGTATAGATGTTACTCATGCAGATAGACTAGATGTGTATCTTATCAGTGTTTCTCTTTCAGACTGCAAATGGATACATCTTGTTTTTTGAAATCCCATCAGCAAGAGACAAGTATCTTTATGAGCCTATGTATCCCAAGTAAGTATTTTAAACTTTTTTTGCATCCCCACAGTGTGGAAAAATGACTAGACAAGTCCTAAGCTGATTTTATGGTAAAAAACATGTCCTTCCAAAGTGTATTTTAAAACTTGAGGAGTATGTGAAGCATCATTCCTGTGAGTTAGAGTCAGTTCAGAAGAGAAGTTGGTCTAACTGGTTTGTTGTGCACTAGTAAGATTCTTTACGTCCATTTTAAAAGCTCTCAAAATCCTAAATGGCGGGGTTAAAATTGTCTAATTGTATAATTTTGAAGTAGTCTGTTGAATTCATGATCTATAACAAGCTTTAATAATTCCTTTTGAGTAGCTCAGTTGAGTGAGTCATGTTGCTTAGGAAATAGTAGGGTGCAGTTTTTTATTAGATTCCTCTCCGCCCCCCAACTTTGTGATAATGTAGAGGTTTTTGAAACAAATGGTCAATAAATTCTCAATATTGCAGAAGGAATGTGAACCATTTTTAGTACAAGTATTTTAGCTGCAGTGTGTTATGTTGTCATTATCATCTTATTTTCCTTATTGTGAATGACATAATACATTTTATGTGTTAAAGCATGACTGTATGTTTGATGTATTTGTGATTGACTTTGTTGACTTCTAATCTGGCAAAAATGGAAAATAGAATAAATTAAAACCTCAAGGGGCGTATTTATGTGTGTCTGTGTGTGTTTAGACAGGCAGAATCTGTGGTCATTGATTGGATCAAATTTGTCCGCTCTCTTGATTTCTCATTGGCTAGAAACTTGGGGTTTTCGTATTTATAGAACAAGTTAAAGTTGATTCGTGGGTGTCTCCAAATGGACATCTGTGACGAGTAATGGATAACCTATGATGTCATAATAAGAGGAAAACATTTTTATTTTTTTAAACCATAACTGTTAAACTGAAAATTAAAAAGAAAGAAAATCAGGTCTTCACGAGCATTCAGATTTTAAATCTCAATTCTTTTACAAGTACTTACAGGAAGAAATGAATTTGCTGGTAGTAAATGATTTCAAAGTGAATTCTTGCTTCATTGAGTGGGAAATTTTGTGTGTGGTACAACTATAGTGCATCTTTTAGCCTCTGAAATAGCCCTCAAAACTCTGGAATGAAATGGCATTTACTGTTGCAACTTACTTGTCTATTTTCCAAGAACTTAAGACTAATGTAGACAAGTTATAGTACATTACTTGCCTTTTCTGAGATCTGAATAGCATTTTTCAAACTGACTTTTCACATCCGACTTACCGTCATCAGGAGGGTAAAACAAAAGCAGACAACCTGTTGCTGCAACTGGTTGGAATAAATAAAGGGATAGTGTATCTTCAGCTGTACATAATGCAGAAGACTAAACAGTAGTTTATGGTATGCTCTTCTTGTTCTATTTGGAAAGTTGTATTTTTTAATTGGCAAAATCTGAAAATATATGGAAATATGTATAAAATATGCAGTGAGAGTCAAAAAAGCAGCTCTGGAAAGTTTATTTAGACATGCCACATGTAGGAGGGTTTGAAAGTATCTATTAAGCAGTAAATGACTAACCAGTCTAACTTTTATATAAAACATTAGTAACTAATTTGTGTTGTCAACCTAAAAGCATGTGTTTTACGAAAAAGTGTTTCTGTTAGCTGTGTGTTGAATGGTCAGCATTTTAAGATATATTTGTATAGCACGAAAGATTATAGTGCTGATTCTGTGGATGAAGAAGACAAGGTGTTTGTCCCCAGAGTGTTTGTGATAGGTTGCTCACAATCTCCTAAGACTAATGTGTGTGATTAACTTTAAGAAGATGAGTGAGTGATCTCACTGAGTTTACTGGGATTACCAGTCTCTCTATTTTTAGCCCTCAATTTTGAAAACCTACGTAAAATTACTGCTGTTATGGTTATATTCAAAAAGAAAGACACAAGCATTTGTTGTGAATCATGCATCCTGTGATTAATGTCACATTATTCTATAAGCTATTATAATGGGATGAACCTTTTTTTTGACGCAGATACAGTGCACTGCCTGTAGGCAGTTTCACTAATTCACTTTGTAGATCAAATACGAAGAAAAACAAACAAAAGAAACCACAACCCAAAATGAACAAACAGACAAATGAAACCAAAAGCCCAGAAGTGAAACTTTTAACTTTCTTCTGGCATATGTTCATTTTCCAAAGATCGTATTTCACTGAAATACTTGGATTTCATTTCTACTGGACTGAACAATACCAAATTAACTCTGAAGCTGTTAAAAATCATTGAAAAGCCTCGGATGTGACATGCCTTGTGCTTGAAAGCAGACGTGTTACTGTTTTCTCCCACTGTAACATTGTGTTCTTGGCTCCTTCCTCGAAGTTGGCAGCAGGGATTGTGCAGCTGTGCCTTAAGTAACTTCGGGTTGCTAACCTGATGGGGAAAATAAACCAGCCTATCTCCCTTCTTTATCCGTCCCCATCCCCTCCCCTGGATTCCAGTAGCTTAGCTTGCAAGTTGGCATAGAACGAAAGGGTGGCATTAGAAAATGATGACCTTGAAGTAGCACTCAGTAGCAGCGCTGGGATATTAAAAATGTGGAGTGGCTGCTCAGTGATACTCACATGATAATTCTCGTGTGATAGTCCATGATAAAGCAATTGCTTGCAACATTTTAGCTCTCATGCAGAAACTAATTACGACTTGTCCAGCTCTGTCTTGTGTGGTTATTTAGCTGTATTAGGCAGAATGAGTGGGAGGACGATGATATTTGCAGAGTGTAAAGATGTAAGGCTGTCCTCGCATTAGTAGTGTGATAGGACAGCTGCCGGAAAACAAGTCGGTAAAAACAGTGAAATGAATGGAAAAGAGGTTCAAATCTAGGTCTCCACACTTCGTATATTTGAGGTAAAGGTTTTTTTGTCTCCCATGCTTGTCTTTGCGACACCTCCACAGCATACCAGAAAGTTAAGAGATATTGTAGAATATCATTAGTTGGGTGTCTGGGTTTTTGGTGTTGGTTTGTTAGGTGTTTTTTTTTTAGCCTCCCTCTAGATAGTGAGTACACTTCTGTTAGTGCTCCTAAGAGTTCAGTCTTATTCTACTTTTTAAAATTAGGAATAATTCTTAGTGTTGATGAACTGTCTGTATCTACTAATTTTTTGTTAAGCAGAATGAAACCTGTTTTCTAGTATACTTTCTTTAAATAATAACTCCAGTTCTGACAGAAACATAAAATTTCAATATAATGACTACAAAAATAAAGGATAACTCTCTTAACAGAACTTTTAAGCAGTACAGGTCAATGTAAAGAGGTGGTTGTGTGCTGGGAGTACACACCAGTAATGTCCTTAGCTGGGCCAAAATCCCAGTGCAAGATTTTCTAGTTTAGTCAATATCCTGAAGTTGCACTTGCAGCTAGATTTGATTCTATACAAGTGAAAATACTGAGAAGTGTTGTGTTTAAATTCTGCTGTCAGCTTAGTTCTCATTTAAATGAAATGTGTATGTTTTACCATAAGTAAAAACAGAATGTCAGAAAAGCAGGTGATAAGGTAGAATAATAATAAGATACACATAAGGTGATAAGATAGACAGCCGCTTTCTTGACTTTAGTTATTTTTTGCAGTCTTCCATATTGGGACACTGGTAGCTGTGGTAAAGTTAAAGCTTCATGTGGTATTGGTATTTTATAAATAACTGCTTTAAAATTTCCTTGATAATGGTTTACTCTTGATTTGAAGAAAAGGACCAAAAAGTTGCTGAAAATAAAAATCATGTAACATTTGTCCATATGGGAGAGGGATGTTTGTGGAGAAAAAGCGCAGTCTTTCCAGTTTATAGTTGTTATTACACAGAGTTGTTACTGTATATGGTTGTTGAGCAAGATGAGCCAGAAGAGCTTGCCTGTATTTGATCTGTTAACAGAACTATTCTAGCATACAGTGATTGCGTAAACTGTAATTACACTTGCAAAAGTTTTTTGCTGGTACAGCTTGAACGAAATGCCTCAAGGTGAAAAAACCCCACAGAACCCCAAAACTGCATGGGAATTGACAGAAAAACTTTTTCTGTTTTTAACTCAATAGTGTCTCTAATCACAGTATGATTTTTTTTTTTTCTTCCCTTGTTTAGGGCCAAGACGCTCTCTTGTCTCCCAATCTAATCAACACAGGTTTAGTAGAAGAGCTAAAGCATGAGTTGAGGCTAAGCTTTCATCCTGTTTGAATGCAAGAGTCTCAGCTTCCCCTTACCTTTTAGTAGTGTGAAATAACCAGACTTTGGAAAGTAAGGTTGAGTGAACTCGCCCTTCCCCTTGCTATTGTATGTTTAAAACCGGACAGAATCAGAGTCCAGGAAAATTGATTTCCTGTTTGAAAATGCCAGTTTGGCATGACTTCCTCCTTTTCATATCAACCTATTGTAATTGTCTTTTTATTCTGAAATTCAGTGTTTTAATGGAAGTACTGAAATTCAATATTATCAACATTTGTTGTGGCTGGAGCTTACAAAACCTTTTAAATTTGTTCCATCAATATCTGAGGGCATAGCTCTTACAAAACTGAAAATACATGAAATACTTTAAGATGGTTGAGTGGGAAATTGTTTCTCAGCACTAGCTATTTTATACTTTTAGAGGTTTAATCAGTTCAAAATACACATGTGTAGACATGGTAAGGGTTACGGAACTGTCCTGTTCAGCATTATGCACATTTTATGTAAAATCTATTATTAGATTAATGTGATAAAACAAGTGTGCATATCATAAGCGCAGCATTCTGGCATGAATTATGAATATTTATATATTTAAAAAAGAAAACTTCTAAAATTTTTGCTGGAATCAAATGATTTTTTTTTGTCAAATTGTAATATTTTAGGAATGTTATGAGTTGCAGTTGTGTTGAAGGAAATATTTCTGGCTCTGCTGATATTTGGCTAGGGATTGCTAGTCTGGTGTTGGAGTGAACAGACATTTATGCTCAATAAAAACCTAAAGTATCTTGCATAATTTGTCAGACTAAAAGCAGGGGGAAAAAACAAG